CTAACTCACTGCTGGCCTGTTCCCCCTACTTGTGCCCATGGCTCTAGTAATCAGGGTTGTGCCTGGATGATAGGGGTGGGGACCCTAAAAAAACCCAGGAAGCCAGAGTGCATGCTGTGGTTCTAAAACAGTTGTAGCATTTTCCTGTCCACTTCATGTGTCTGTGAGTGCCAAATCCCAAGGTGACCAAGCTTCATGCCAGGCATAAAACCAGCTTTAGCTCCAGTGCCTGGATTTTGTGGTGAGGCCACTTTTGCATGTCCCAAGGGGCTAGAAAGATGAGTGCTTAGGCTTGGTGTCACCAGCAGTGACAGGCTCTGCCCTCTGAGGTCCTGTCAGGTCTCTATCCACGTAACCAAGGCATGTGACGTGCTCCCTGGTGAGCCTGTTGAGGAGTGAGAGATAATTAGGGGCAGCACACGTGTGACACATGTGACTTTCCAGGCCTTGATTCCTGGCGGATTGTGTCAATAACACAGTGCCCGTTGAGGTGTGAGGTTAGACAGACGTGGCCTTCCAGGTTCTGATGGGAGAGGGGGCTTCGGGGGGCAGTTTGGTATCACCTTTTCCCTGATTCTGGAGTACTTGCTAGGTGGTGCTCTGTAGGTCCTGGCAGACAATGCTCTTGGGTTGTGGCATCTCCTTTTTCCTCTTAGCGCCTCTCTTCAGGCTGCATGAAATCATCTCCGGGTACAGTGCAGTACCTGCCTGCTTATCTCAGCAGAACCCAAACCCAGGCAGGTAGGTGCCCAAGGTACCCCGCACAGCCCTCTACAGACGGCCCATACTCACCTGCACGCACTCTCGCACGCACGCACGCACGCACCTTCCTGCTTGCTGCTGTTACTGGGGTGTTCCCTTGAAGACAAAACACTCCATGTGGGTGTGGCTGAGAGCCAGGAGGGCGGCTGACTGCACAGGGCAGGGGTTCTCAACCTTCTTCATGCTGCCACATTCCGTGATACAGTTCCTCACGCTGTAGCGACCCCCAACCATAAGAGTATCTCCACCGTTCCTAAATAGCTGTAATTTTGCTACTTTTACGGACTGTAATGTAAACATATGTGTTTTCCGATGGTCTTAGGTGACCCCCGTGAAAAGGTCAGTCAGCCCCCAACGGAGTCATGACCCACAGGTTGAGAACTACCGGCACAGAGAGTGGGTGTGTTGGTTTCAGAGGCACTCCTGTGCCAGCTGAGCTCCCTGCCCGTGTGCCCTGGTCCCAGGGGATAGAAGCTCCCTGGGCTGTTTTCCCGTGAAAGATACAGCTTCCAAGAAGAATGGACAGAGAGAGGTGGGGCCAGGCGTTAGTGGGTAGATTGATTTGAGCCTGGCTCTAGGGTAGCGTCACTGCTGTCTCCCTGTCAGACCACTAAGTTCACCCATGACCAGATGCAAGCATGTCATCCAAACGCTGCGTTGATTCTCAGATTCACTCCACTACACACCCTGTTTTCTTTGACAGTGACAAAGAGACACAGGCTCCCCCCCCCTTGTGTTTTGTCCCTTTCCTGCTTCTATCTGTATGGAGCAGAAACTTTTCTTAAATGATGTTTTTTAAAGTTATAATATGATTATATAATTCCCCTCTCCCGTTCCTCCCTCCAACCCCTTTCATGCAACCCCTTTCTCGCTCTCAAATTTATGGCCTTTTCTTTAATTGTATATATACATTATGTGTAGTATATAAAATATTATGTGTTGTGATATTATATATAACATTATATATTATACATTATATGATATAACATTGTATATATGCACACAAACATATACACACAAATATATATATTCCTAAATACATAACTATAACCTGCTCAATTCGTATAACTTTACCCGTATGTTTATGACCTCAGGGCTGATCACTTGCTATTGGATAACCAGTTGGGAGGCTTTTCACTGGAAAATTGTTTCTCCTGCTTTCAACATTCCTTGGTTGCCTACAGTTCTTTGCCTAGGATTGAGACCCCTTGAGCACTTCCTCTTTCCATGTTAGAGTATCCACTGGTGTTGTCATTGTTTAGGTTTTGTTTAGGCAGCCAAGTAGACAAGACCTCACAGATGTGGTCTCTCTCATATTTCTAGGTGGCAAAACTGTGGAAAATGTCCGGTTCCTCTGGCTCTTACAATTTTTCTTTCTTTCTTCTTCTTCTTCTTCTTCTTTTTTTTTTTTCAATGATCCATGAACCTAAGGTGCAAAAATTATGTTGCAGATGCATCAGTTGGGACAGGGCCCCCTATAATCTCTTGTTCTCTGCATTTTGGTAGGCTGTGGTTGTCTGTCATAGTCTTTACCTGTTGCAAAGAGAAGTTTCTTTGATGAGGGGTGAGAACTACGCGTATCTATGAGGCTAAGAATAAATATTTAGAATATAGTTAGGGATTATGCTGGTTTAATAAAGCAGTGGATGTAGGTTCTCCTCCAAGACCAAGGTCTTCACAGCCCTGAAGGAGCTAGCTATGTTTCAAGTACAAGGCATAAGTGAGCTCTAGGTCCAGTTAGAGTTATTAGTTAATGCCAAAGTATGTGTGCCACTGTTTCGAACATGCTGTGCTGGTCTTTGTTGTAGGTGGGTAGGACTCTTGTTTGCTTGGAAGCTTGCATGGCGCCTTCTGATACCACAAGAACTAGTCCTCAGGAGGAGGCTTTCAGGTCATATCCAGATCAGGTCCCATGTTCAAATATTTGTTAAAATAATTCCAGCCCTGGGGAAGCAGAGGCAGGAGAATCCCTGGGCTCTTAACCGGCAAATTCCAGGTAAATGAGACACACTGTTTAAAATTAAAGAAAAAAAAAAAAGGTGGACAGTGCCTGAGGAACAACTGGGGTTGTCCTCTGATGTCCACACGTGCGTGACAAACCGGCATGTTCACTCCAACACGCGTACACACACACACAAGTGTGCTGCAGGATACATTTCTGAGAGAGACATTTAGGTTGCATTTCTGGGGAGCCACCGAGGGAAACTCATGTGGTGGGTTTTCCTCCTGCCATGGGTTCCTTACCAAGAAACATGGAAGAACTGCCAGAGCCCTGGGCCAGCTCCCTGCTTCAGGAGAGTGTAGAGCCCAGAGGCCTGGAATTTCCTGGGGAAACAGAGACTGCAGGGAAGCAAAGGGCTTTTCAGTTTGGAGTGGGTGGGGGTTTGCTACTGTAAGCTCCTTGTGTAGCAAAGGGAAAAATAGTTTTCTATTAAGCCAGAGGAATTATATTTATCACCAAGGACCAGAATAGAACATGTGGCCGGCATTAGCGGTGCCGCTTGCTACTTTTAAGGAATTCTGCGTTGTCACGCGGCCCAGATGGAGATGTTGATTTGATTCTGGCTCCTTCTCTGAACGCTATTTCCACTTCTCTTTCTTCTTTCATCTGTACAGACCATATGGTGCCTTTCTTGCTCTGGGGGGGGGGGCGGGGAGGAGGAAGGTCTGTGGAAGAGGCCTTTGTGCTGGCGGGGAAGGCCCTTTGGAGTCCATCATTAGCACTGTTATGTCCTGGTTGGCAGTGGCCTTGGAAAGCCCTCCACCTCACTCTAGGCCAGTGATTCTCAGCCTGTGGGTCAAGATATCACTGGGGATCACATATTTGATATATACATTGCAATTAATAACAGTAGCAAAATTACAGTGATGAAGCAGAGATGAAATAATTTTATGGTCATCACAGCATGAGAAACTGTATTAAAGGGTATTAAAGGCATCATTAGGAAGGTTGAGGACCACTGCTTGACACCTTTATGTTCCCAATTGTAAAATGTCCTTCCTGTCCTCGGAGGGCTGAACCTTTCAGTGAACACATCTTATAAATTTTGGAGCCTGCTGCCCCTGTTAGCTGTTAACACATGGGCTACTGTTGGTTGCATGTGGGCCTTGGGATAATGCTGCCCAGGTAGAAAGAAGAGCTGTCTGTCATACCTTGAGTGTTTCACAGGTATCATTTTGTGTCTTTGCTCTAATTTCCTGCGTGGCAGGCTCTGCTGTCTTCCTCTGTTGAAGAGGGAATGAAGTAGAGAGGTCAGGCTGGTGGCCCTTGGGACATCCTGGGTGTACGTGTCTGGAGACTGTGGCTGACTCACATCTCTTCCACTCCTGGGAAGGGAAGGCTGTACCCCCACCCCTGGGTTGGCTAGTCTTTATACGGAAGCCCTCTCAAATGGCGAGAGCTCTGTATGATGCCATTCCTGCTCTCAGAGTCCTAGGCCATGAGCTGAGCCCAACAGACTTGCCTGGTTCCTTCCCTAGCTGGATCCTACTTCTCCTTCCTCCCCCTCAGCACTTCATGGGCAACCAAACCCCTGGATTAGGCTTTGCTTGGAGGCAACTTGACTCTACACAGATGCTATCAGTTCCCCTCCAAGGAGAATTAGACTGAAGTGAGGAATCAGGAAAGGCAGTTTAAAGATGGGAAGGAGCCAATCAGCATGAGAGTAGAGGGCTAGGTGTGCCCTCTACACATCTATCCCAGGAGACCTGCATGTCCCTTATCTCAGGGGACAATTTATGCCAAGTGTTGTTACAACAGGGGTAGGAGAAAAATATAAGGAGAAACTGGAAGGTTAGCAGGGTCACATCTGACTCCCAGGTCACTCCCCAGTTAGTGCGCAATAGACTCGCCCACAGGCCCGCAAACCTTAGCCGTAGAGAGAGTTGGGTGTGTGGAGCTCAGCATGGGGGAGCATGCTGGCTTTGATGTCTGCGTCCAGCCTTGACCTCCAGTTCCAGCTGTTACTCCCAGTTCCTCTGGGAGGCCCAGCAGCACTTTGTGGGTTTACCATACTGAACAGCATGTTAAGTTGTGCCTGGGTCCCATGAGGGGTAATTATCTCCATACGCACTGAGCATCTTTTGCTTTAACCACAGACCCCTTGGAGTCCAAGAGTCTGGGGACTGGGGAGCAAAGCTGGAAACAGCTTTCTGCAGGAGAGGACTGCAACTTCTCTCATCCAGAGGCTTCTCTGATACACAAAGTGACATTATCTTTCTCTTTTTTTTCTTTCTAGGCAAAAATAACAGCAGAAAAGGCAGAAGAAGCAAGAGTCTTGAGAAAGCTGCCAGTGATGATCATGGTGTCCCTGTGGTTCATGAGGATGTCAGAGAGAGTAAGTGAAGCTCTTGCGGGGTCCCTGCCCCACTCCTGTCATGGCTGTCTGGTCATAGATACCCTGTAGTGAGATTGTCTGGACTTGTGTCTATTCTTAGCTTTTATGCGGGAGTGCAGACATTTCAGCAGCTCAAACTTTTCTACGGGGGGGGGGGCATTGCTGTCTTATCAAGATTTTCCCATTAAATTGCTCAAGTTGCTCCCATATTACCTATTCCCTCCCTCTTGGAAGCCCATATCATTGTGATTTTTTAGCTGCCCACAGCCTTCATTGGATATTTCTTGTCTCCCAACTCAGCACATAGTCTCTGGGGTCAGAGATAAAGTTTTCTATTTATAGAATCTGCAATACTAGTCCTGACATCCTGCAGCCATGTGAAACTTTTGGTCATATAATTACTCACCCTGGTATGTTCAGTGGGAGGCTGGGTATATAGTTTGACAGAGTGTTTGCCTGCCATGCATAAAGCCTTAGGTTTCATCCCAGAACTGCACACAAAAGATGTGATGTGCACACCTATAAGACCAGCACTAGAGAAATAGAGGCAGGGTTTTTTGGAATTTAAGGTCATCCTCAGCAACACAGACATTGGAGGACAGCCTGGGATAGATGAAATCCTGTCTCAAAGCAAAACCAAAAACAAATGAACAAACCACCCAAAAACCAAACCCCCAAATTATAGAAAAAGAATGCTCAAAGGTGATTAGTTAGTTCTAGTCTCGTGGAGGAGTGCTGGCCCGTGAGCTGTAGCTATGAAATTCTCAACTATTTGTCACTAATGTTGAATCTTTATTGCTCTAAACTTCAATATTCGGGATCATTTTCCTGCTTATATTAATAGCAGTGGCAATGTATTAAGTGTGTCTGTAATAACCAGATTCTTTGCCCAGTGTCTGACCTTCCCAACATTGTGCTGAGCATTATGGGTATTACCCTCTTCCTCCTTCTCCTCCTCCTGCTCCTCCTTCTCCTCTTGCTTCTCTTCCTTCTTCTTCTTCTCCTCCTCCTCTTCTTCTTCCTCCTTCTCCATTCTTTGTAGATTAAGGGGAGGGAGCTGCTTTGGCCAGGGTTGTGCAGCTAAACAGAGCTCAAAATGAAAGATTCCAGGATTATTGGCTTTTTGCTTAGTAATACAGCATACAAAAAAAAAAAAAAAAAACCAGCAAGACATTTTACAGATTTGCCTAGGACTCACTCTCAACTGCCTCATCCACTCATGACTTGTGCCACAGAGGTGACCATCACCAGGGGAGTTGCATGTTTCCTTAGGTACAATGATGGGTTTGGGGCCATGTTTCCAACCAACAGCCTGCCATCAAAGAAATCTCTGCTCTAACAGAGTGTTCTCAGATAAAGATAAATCAATTCTTATGAGCTTCTGCAGTCATTTTTGGAGCTAAATGTGTATTCCATCTGAAGATGGACACTGAGGTGCCCACTGAAAGGACTCTGTCCCTTGGGAGGATATATTGAGTGTACAGTATGTAGATTGGGCTATGTTTCTGACCTGATCCTGAGGCTCAGGTCCTGTAGCCTCTGTGATGGTTAGCTTTTTTCAAAATTATTTAAACAAGTTATTTTAATTTTTTTACAGTTTATTCATTATATATCCCAATTGAAGTCCCCTCCCTCAACTCTTCCCAGTCCCACCCTCCTCCTTTCCTCTTCCTCCAATACCTTTCCCCTAGTCCACTGAAGGGGGAGTTCTCCTCCTTTGCATCTGCCCATAGCTTATCAAGTCTCATCAGGACTGCCTGGATCATCTTCCTCTGTGGCCTGGTAAGGCTGCATCGCCAGGGGCAAGTGATCAAAGAGCAGGCAACTGGATTCACAACAGAGGCAGCCCCTGCTCCCCTCACTTGGGGACCCACATGGAGACTGAGGCATCAATAGGCTACATTTGAGCAGGGGGTCTAGGTCCTCTCCATGCATGGTCCTCCATTGGTGCATCAGTCTCCATTGGTGCAGGACCCCCTGGGCTCAGACTCTTTAGCTTTGTTGGTCTCCTGTGGGGCTCCCGTTCTTTCCATGTCCTTCTATCCCTCCCCCCCTTCTTCCTTAAGACTCACTGTGCTCTGCCCAAAGTTTGGCTATGTGTCTCAGCATCTGCATGGATCCCTGTTGGGTGGAGTCTTTCAGAGAACATCTATGGTAGGCTCCCATCCTGTTCTCCCTCTTCTACTGCTTCTGGTGTCTGTCCTGTTTGCCATTCTGAATGAGATTTAAGCATCTTCCTAGGGTCCTTTTAGTGTTTAGTTTCTTTAGGTCAGTAGATTTTAGTATGGCTATCCTATATTAAATGGCTAATATCTGCTTATAAGTGAGATATACCATTTCTGTCTTTCTGTTTCTGGGTTACCTCACTCAGGATGATGTTTTCTAGTTCTATGTGATGGTTAGCTTTAATAATCAACTTGACCCCATCTAATGTTACCTGGGAAGAAAGTCCAAATGAAGAATTGTCTACTTTAGGTTGACCTGTGGGTCTATCTGCAGTAAATTCTTTTAATTAAGTAATTGACTTGAGAAGACCCATCCCAGTGTGAGAGGCACCATTCCCTAGGCAGCAGGTCTTGAACTGTATAAAAATAGAGAAATAGAAGTAAGTATAAGTAAGCAAGAACGTGTCCATTTCTCTCTGCTCTTACTGTGGATGTGATGTGACCCACTGTTTTAAGTTTCTGCCACCTTGACTTACTAGTGACAACCGTAACTTAGAATTGTGAGCTGAGATAAGCCCTTATCTCCTCTACGGTGTCTTTTGTTTGGGTATTTTATCACAGTGATGACAATGGAACTAGGATAAAGTTTTAAGTCCCTTTCTGGTGATGGGTCTTCTTATCTGCCACCAGCCTGTGGTCACTTTGGGGTGCTAGCCTCAGGAGCACTTAAGAGTTTTGCTGCCTTGTTTTTTTTTATTGCTGAGTAATATTCCATTGTGTAGATATACCACAATTTGTGCATCCATTCCTCCACTGAGGGGCATCTGGGCTATTTCCAGCTTCTGGCTATTACAAATAAGGCTGCTACAAACATGGTTCAGCAAATGTCCTCATTGTGTACTTGAGCCTCTTTTGGATATATGCCTAGGAGTGGTATAGCTGGATCTTGAGGAAGCGCTATTCCTAGTTGTCTGAGAAAGCACCAGATTGCTTTCCAGAGTGGATGTACAAGTTTACATTCCCACCAGCAATGGAGGAGGGTTTCCCTTTCTCCACAAACTCTCCAGCATGTGTTGTCTCTTGAGTTTTTGATCTTAGCCATTCTGATGGGTGTAAGGTGAAATCTTAGGGTCGTTTTGATTTGTATTTCCCTGATGGCTAATGAGGTTGAACATTTCTTTAAGTGTTTCTCTGCCATTCGATATTCCTCTATTGAGAATTCTGTTTAGCTCTGTACTCCATTTTTTTTAAATTGGATTACTTGATTTATTGCTTTTTAATTTCTTTAGTTCTTTATATATTCTGGATATCAGCCCTTTGTCAGATATAGGGTTGGTGAAGATCCTTTTCCAATCTGTAGGCTGTCATTTTGTTCTGATGACAGTGTCCTTTGCTTTACAGAAGCTTTTCAGTTTCATGAGGTCCCATTTATTGATTGTTGCTCTTAGAGCCTGTGCTGTTGGTGTTCTGTTCAGGAAGTTGTCTCCTATGCCGATGAGTTCAAGGCTCTTCCCCACTATTTCTTCTTGGTGGTTTAGTGTGTCTGGTTTTATGTTAAGGTCTTTGCTCCACTTGGACTTTAGTTTTGTGCAGGGTGATAAATATGGATCTATTTGCATTTTTCTACCTGTAGACATCCAGTTAGACCAGCACCATTTGTTGAAGATGCTGTCTTTTTTCCATTGAATGGTTTTGGCATCTTTGTCAAAAATAGACTTATGGGCAACCTTTGGGCAGAGTGCAGGGAATCTTATGAAAGAAGTGGGAAACAGTAAGATCTGGAGAGGACAGGAACTCCACAACAAGAGCAACAGAACCAAAAAATCTGAGCACAGGGGTCTTTCCTGAAACTGACACTCCAACCAAGGACTATGTATGGAGATAACCTAAGACCCCTGCACAGATGTAGCCCATGGTAGTTCAATATCCAAGTGGGTTCCATTGTAATAGGAACAGGGACTTTCTCTGACATGAACTGATTATTACCTCCCCCTGAAAGGGAAGCAGCATTACCAGGGCACAGAAGAAGACAATGCAGCCACTCCTGATGAGACCTAATTGACTAGGATCAGAGGGAAGGAAAAGAAGACCTCCCCTATCAGTGGACTTGGGGAAGGGCATGCATGCAGAGGGTGGTGGAACGAAGGGATTGGGATGGGAGGAGGGAGGGAACCACAGGGGGGATACAAAGTGAATAAATTATAATTAATAAAGAATTAAAAAAAGGAGTTTTGCTGCCAACAAGTCTGTCCTGGAGGGGTTTTCAGTATCTGGTGAATTCTCGAGTGCTTTCAAACATATTTTAAAACATATTTCCTCCAAATTTTTTCTCAGTAACTTCAGCAGAAGGGTTGGGTTGGATTTTCTTATTTCTTCTTTCTCAGATTTGGAAGTTATTAAAATTGGGGGGAGCAATTCAGAAAGATTTTTGGAGGCCCATTTCTACATGCGAGTATACACACACACAACTCACACATGCACGCACACATGCACTTGCACAGGCGCACACGCCCATAGACATGCAGTGTACACATGACATTTCCTCTTTCCTGTCACAGACGCTCTTGTTGGCAAGATTATTTTCCTGAGCTGGCCTCACGGATGGGGTCAGTTGCCTCAAAGGCAGCCATCACACCTTCGATTCACTGGATCCTTTCATATTAGCCTGTAAAAGTATTCTATGTCTTTTAAAGGAAGGATTGATAATACATGGGAGGGGAGGAATAATGGTTCCTTGTTGCACCTGAGGCAAGGAGAGAGACTGTGGGTGTTGACTAGAAGGTTCACACTGAAGACAAGTGACAAAGCCCTCGAAAGAGTCTGAAGTCTGTGAGG